TAGTAAAACAAAGACTTATATTTTTGATATTTATTTTATATATTTAAATGCCATTTAACAAAGAAAAATCAACCAAAAAAATGAGTTTACGTGTCACCTCTGACACGCATGTCATAGGTTCGCCATCACTGGACTAGACGCTATCTCAGGCCACTTCCACCTCTAAAATTTCATGATCCTGCAAAAAGACTGATTATTTAGAATACATCTCTAAGATCATACAGAAAATGAAAGCAAAAAGAGATGATTCTGACAACTGCCATTCACCCATTCACTAGGGGCTAAGAGTGAGGCAGTTCTACCAGCAGTTTTCTGAAGATTGACTTAGTGTTCAGGACCCCACAAAGACGAGGGATTTTGGAAAATATCCCAGGATTTTAGTTGGAAGTCCAAAGAGCTACACTCTTAGAGGGTGGAAATAAACTAACCCTTACAAAAATGGTAACTGAGCCTCCAGTGACCTCAATCTCTGATAGGTAAGACGATCTGCCCATCCTTACTTCCAGAAGCAAAGTAAACCTCTCTAGAGGAAGATAGCATGTAAAGCCTCCAATTTTCTTTGCAATTTTTCATACACAAAGTCATTTAATCAAAATTCACTCTACATTTCAGAAAATAAGGTCAAATAACAAAAAATCATGAGAGAAAAAACAGATAGTAGAAATGGATCTACAAGTCCAGATATCAGAGTTTATAGCCATAGACGTTAAGATATATAAAATAACATGCTCAAAAATATATAATAAAATGAAATTCAGCAGAGAATTGAAAATTACAAAAGAACCAAACAAAATTTAGAAATGAAAAATACAAGAAATAAAATTAAGAGCTCAATAGCTTGAGTATGTCAGCCGATTAAATAAGTGGAAGAGAATATTAGTGAACTAAAAGGACAGAAGAAAATAACCACACTAAAACATGAACAGAAAAAGGAAAATATAGACAAAAAATCAGTAATGATATGGGAGATGTGAACAAGATTAACAAAGTTGGCCAAATTCATATTCATAGAACACTACACCAAAGAAATAGAGAACACACATTATTTTCAAGTTCATCAATGTTGGAATATTTACCAAAATTGATCATATGCTTGACTAGAAAGCAAAGCTCCACAAATACTAAGTGACTGAAATTATATAGAGCGTATTATCTGATACAGTAGAATTATGCTAGAAATCATTTTTTTAAAGTTAACAAAAATAACATTCTCAAATATTTGTAAAAGCAGTAATACATTTCTAAATAACTCATGGGTTCAAAAAGAAATTCTAATGAAAATTAGAAAATAATTTGAACTGAATGATAATGAAAATAAAATATGTAAAAATTGTGTGACCAGCTAAAACCATGCTGAGAGAGGTTTACAGCTTTAAATCCTTTGTTAGAAAAACAAAGTTAAAATTAACTAAATATCCATCATTAAAACTTAAAATTAACTAAATATCCATCATTAAAACAAAAAGAACAAAAAATTAAGTAAAATAAAGAATAAAGCTAAAAGAGATCAATAAAATAAATACACAATAGAATCAGAAAAACCAAATTTAATTTCTTGAAAATACTAACACAATTGGTAAACCCTTAGAGAGAATGATCCAAAATTCCTACTCATTCATAAAATCTCTGTATATCATCATACCTGACCACCATCTTTTCATTAAGGAAGGATAATCTCTATTCCAAAGACTATAAAATTATTTCTTATATTTTCTAGTATTTGTATATTTTTTCTTTACATTTGATATTTGTACTAGTGGCCCGGTGCACAGAATTCGTGCACGGGGGAGGGGGTGTTCCTTAGCCTGGCCTGCACCCTCTCCAATCTGGGACCCCTCGAAGGATGTCCTACTGCCAGTTTATAGGGATCGGGCCTACACCAGCAGTTGGACATCCCTCTTGCAATCCGGGACTGCTGGCTCCTAACTGCTCACCTGCCTGCCTGCCTGCCTG